GCTCGTGCCAAATACTACTTTGCGTGGACCCTGGCTGAAATTCTTGGCATGTGTGCAGGCAACGGCTACACGGGTGATGACCCAGTCACGAAGGAGGCCCAGTGGAAGAATGTGCACAACTTTGACTTTGTGCAAGTGGAGGCAGCGCTGAATTTGAAGCTTCTGATAGACGCCTGGAATATAAAGACGGCCGTCTGGCTGAGGGAGGTGGTGTACTACCGCGCACCCAGGTCAATCAGCACAGTGGCGGTCTTCACCGTGAGCGCCTTTTGGCATGGCCTCTACCCCGGCTACTACCTCATGTTCCTGACTTTCGCCCTCTTCGTTCTGGCTGCCCGGATGTGGCGTCGCAAGGTGCGCAGCCGTCTGCCGTCCAAACGTTACCTCTTCCTCGTCTACCACGCCTTCACCATCTTCCTGACACACATCAGCATGGACTACGCCCAGGCGCCCTTCCACTTGCTCACTCTGAACAGCAGCATCTTCACCTGGATACAGTTCTTCTTTGTGCCGCACATCGTGGCTGTGCTGATACTCTCCGTTCTCAGTCTGTTATCTAGGCTGCGCAGAAGGCCAAAGGTACAGGACATTGAACCGCTGTTGGCGTAGTAGATGATGACACCGACGATTATGCCTCGTGCCTACTGGCTTTGAACAGCGGATCCTCAAACCACCACTAGGCCGATTTTGACAGCCGTCCGGAATTGCTGATTACCTTCTGGACTTTTTAGGGTCCTGCAACCGCGCGCTGGCGGCCTTTCTACAGGTTTGGATAATGTGACCCTCCCTCCCCCGTATCGATCTTTTTTAGTTCCTCTCTCTCTGTACCCAGGAGAAAATATTTACTGACTGACTTGGAAAGCATTTAGCGCAGACAATGGTGGAAAATACTCATCACCCGTGCTGGGGTGGGGTCCTGCTGGCCTCTGTGCTATTTTAAAGGAGTATACTCACCTTAACTCTTTATGCATTCCCCTTTTTACCTCTGGCATCTTTTATTCTGTGTAGAAAGACAAGCTTTTAATGCCACACATTTTGTATCATTCTGTGACCTACAAATAAATACGTGAGTTTGTAGCTGGAGGACGTAAAATGTCTTTTCAAATGCAAGCATTTACTCCGCGCTGTGGTTTGACGTTTTTTTTATAAAGGACAGACATTTGTGTCTTTTGTCTCTCTTTTCCCGTGCTTACGTGTTTTTTAGCTTTGTCGATGGGGACTGATAAATACAAACGAACTGCAGAAAAAGGCATGGTGGCATAGGAGAGAAGTCGAGGCTTTTTGCTCGGGAGGATCTAAGGGAGTCGTGCGCGTATTCATCTCGAATTGGGAAGAATTTTTGCATCCTGGTCGTATGTATAAGTAGGGGAGAGGACGGCTGTTCGCTTGCCGAGACCCGTTTACTCACCTGAGCTTTCGAACTAGTGCAGGAGTGCATCATCGGAAATGAAAGCCGCAAAATACGAGCAACAGTTTTAGGCGATCGGGGCCAAACCAAAATCAGTGATGCTGGCCTGCACGTGACTGTGTATATCGACGGTATCTGCTATGCATTCGGGCTCCGTGACCAGTCTGCCATGGTAGGGGTCACTATGCATCTCCGAGTCCCAGTGTTGGCCGATGCTTGTATACCTATTGTCGGCTCTTCTCCTTTATTTCCTCGTACAAGAAGGGAGCACTACACGGTTGCCCCCACGTTCTACGGTAGATGTGTATTGTGGTCGATGTATGCGACTGGCAAATTTCCTTTCTCTAACACTGTAAGTAGCCACTCGATTGCCTGTTGCCATGTGGTTGTCTTCTGTGGACTGTGGAGCAGCCTCACTGTAAAATGATTTATTCTTATTTCAACAGTGCTAACCTATGAAAGTCACTTGAACGGATCATATAATCCTGAGTTTTCGAACTCGTGCAGGAGTCCATCATCAGAGAAAAAAGCAACAGTTGTGGGGTTTAGGGACCAGTCAAACATCGCTAGCACCAGGCCGGAGGTGGCTACTCGTTTTGTTGCCGCTTCTATCCCTGACGATGGATTCTTGCACGAGTTCGAAAACTCATATGAATAAAAAAACTTTTTACAATAATAAGATATGCCGGCAAACCATTTTGGTCAAATCCTATAATAATAATATGGCCGGTCGACATAACGCAAGCAGGACGACTCGCAAATCGCATTTTCTAAGGGTTAAACTATGGATTGCTCAGCGCGCAGATCTAACTTGAGCAAGATTCCGTCACGAAGATGGCAGCGGCTCCATTTTTATCCAACCATATTTCACTAAACGGCTAGAATGGGTTTTACCCATGAGAAAAAAAGGAAAAACGTCAGCGCAGATACTGCAAGCTTGCGTGTTCGTTCGCTTTGTGTCTCATTTGGGCGTTGTCTGCCTACGGAGCTGGTGTTCTGCTACGTTTTCGAAAGTCGTGAGGATTTTACATGTATCCTCTCTGACAGATATTCGCTAGCGCTTTTGCACTCAAACCTGCTGCAAAAGGTGTGTCTGGGTGTGTCTACGGAGTGCGCTGAACCGGATAGTTCGTCTACCATGCCCCAGAAGGCGCTCATTTCAAGCCAATTCAATCCTCTACCAGTCTCCTTTCTTGCTCTGCGAGACTGTTCGACGCACCAGCTGCACTCGGGTCACCACTTTGATCACAGTCTAAAGTACGTAAGGTCAGCTGGCATATCATCACGTTGACAGACTCGTGCCAGTGTGTGTGCGTTAGCTAGCTCGCTCGGTGCATATGTATAAACCAGGTATGTAGATCGCAGCCTGCCAACTGACGAGATAATCCGGTCTTCGTGATCAGTATTCTATATTTCTGTGAGGTGGCTGTCTTGAAGGCAGAGCCCGACTCAGGTCACGTTGGGGTCAGACATTTATGTGGAAGAGTATATTCTGTAAATTCCTAGTGGACAATAGATTGGAAACATTTGACAGCTGGACGAGTGCATATCCGCAGTCGCGGGGGCAACGTATGAAGTCTTCACAGCGTCTCCAGCGCGGTCATGTGTGAGGTTTTTGGCCAGTTCTTACAGCCTGGATTGGTGGCCACTGGTACGCACGGCTTGCAAT